AAGAGCCAGGGGCTATCCCACTCTGTCCGTTGATGAGTAACGACGTTGGATCCCCAGTCCATATCCAAGGCACTCCTGTCAACTGTGATTCGATTGTGTGGTCTTCTTCGGGGTAAAAGTCACCAATCTTCATAATTATCTCCTCGTCGTACGCGTATGGCGGCGGCACAGCATCTTTGACTATCAAAGCTCCGGTAGCCGTGATGGCTTGGAAGCCTACATGAGAGTGGTAGAAGGATGTTCCAGCTTCGCTAGCACTCGGATGGAGCTCGTAGTCATAAAAACATCCAGGCGGGATCGGCCACTGTGAAGCTTGCGGAGCACCGTCAGCGTAAGGCGCCGCAGATAGTGCAAGGCCATGCCAGTGCTGAGGGTTTCATCAGTTAGCAAGCGAAGCTTTGCGAAACACAGTAAACAACTTGTAGCTTACCATTGTTGTATTCACATCTGCGTCGTTGTACACCCGAATCCACGTTGTTCGCTCAGGTTCGAGATAGATTGGGGGTGCCGGATATGTACCGTTGATAACGGTCGAGAGACGAGGCTGGCAGTTGAGCCGGATAGTGGCGAGGCTAACTCGCAGCACGATATCTGGAGTGATACTGGCATTCTGCGCCTCAAGCTTCTCCGCAACAGCTAAATGGACAGTAAGCGGCCAAAGGAAAAGGCAAGCTTGTAGCCAGTATGAAAAATGGTAGAGCATTTCGGAGATGAGATCCCTACTGTGGAGAGGAGAGTACCGGACTGAACACGCGACAGTGAGAGTAAGACCATTTGAAGACCTCACCTTGAGAGTGTTGAAGTCGGGAGAAGCCATGCTCAATACAATATGAACATCGCAATTGACTCCTCCATCCGGGATCCACGTCGTAGCTACGTCAGCTATGGTCGAGAATTTGAATTGGGCTGGTCTTGTAACTGATATGATCTGTCGTTAGCCGGTGTCGTGAACGGACGAAGCACTACCTGCAAGGACCCGACGGCGAAATCGGCATAAGTTGTGTGATATTGTCAAAGACATTGCGGAGGTCCGAGACCAAGATGCCACGGCAACGGTGGTACAGAGATATATTCGTGGCACCTAACAATGTGGTTGTGCGAATTATATTGAAGGAGTTTGCAGAGTGGGGAGGCGATTTAAAGCACAATGTCTGACAGCGAGATTTCCCTCCATCTCCTACTCTAAGTTGAGTATGTGAACCACGTGGGACCTTGTCTGATGCAGGATAGTTTTCTGTCAGACGAAATATCACCCAACAGAGGGTACGGAGTGTGGGAGGGAGCCTTGCTTGTATTGCCGTACAATGCAGTGACTACCTCGACTCTAACTGTATTTCTAGCATTTTGTATCTATAACGACATCCCCATCTAGTTTCGCCAATGTCGATTTACAGCTTCGGAAACCTGACCCTCAGGAATTGACTGGGCCAGGCAACATCGACGCCCAACTTCCAACCCACTTTCAACACCCACTCCGGTTCTCTCATAAACTGCCTCGCCACGAGGATCACGTCTGCCATGGGCTCCTTGCCACCCTTGGCATCTGTCATCTCTTTTGCGGCGTTGGCTTCCTCCCCAATACTCTTGTCCGATGCTTTATCTTCAACAATATCCCGTGCCTGTTCGGCTTCCGTGATGAGGCCAACTGCACCAATCAACAGCTTGAGATGGTCCGCCTTCAACGTTTGCCGGATCTGGTTGGCAATCTTGGTCTGGTAGTCCTTGGACGCAAACATGTTGATGCGCTGCTGAGGATGATTCCCGCCGCTGCTGACATCAAGAAGATCCACTCCCAGTCCAGGTAGCAGACGCGCAAGCTTGATCGTGCTTTCCACGTCCCAGCTTCCCAGTTGCTTGCCCAGATCTGTCTCCTCCAACCACTCGGTCGAGCTGACGCGCAGGAATAGAGGCATATCCTGTGGGATCTGTGCCCGCACGGCCTTGACGACTTCGACCAAGAGGCGTGTGCGATTTTCAAAGCTGCCGCCGTACTGATCTGTGCGCCTGTTCGTGATAGGGCTGAGGAATTGGTGGATGAGATAGCCATGGGCGGCGTGGATTTCAATCACGTCGATGCCGGCCTGCACCGCCCTTCGCGCACTGTCTGCAAACGCTTTAACCACGTCTTTAATCTCGTCCACGGTCAGCTGCCTCGGAGGCCAGAAGCCGCCATCCTGCGCCAACCCTTTGCCATCCCAGCTCTCCTCTGGCCCACCCATCGGCCCAACAACATCTTCCGGCCATCCGTCGGCACTCTTGTCCGCGCGCACCGACGGTCTCTTGAGAGATGATGAAATCCATGGCGGCAGGGTACTCGCCTTGCGTCCGGCATGAGCGAGTTGAATCCCGGAAAGGGCACCCTGTGACTTGACAAAGTCCGAAACACGCTTGACACCCTCGGTCTGAGTATCATTCCATAGGCCAGGACAATATGGGCTGATACGCCCATTGTACTGCACGCCCGTTGCCTCGATAAACACCAATGCCGCGCCCTTTAGAGCGTAATGACCTAGTGTTGCGATGTGGTAGTCGGTAAGTTTCCCAATGTCCGGACCGGAAGAAGCAGTCGAGTATTGGCACATGGGCGCCACGATTATGCGGTTGCGCAGGGTCTTGGAGCGGATCTTGAGAGGCGTGAACAGCGTTGGGGTATCGGCAGATGGGGTAAATGGCGTCCCAGGACTTGAGGCATGGGCTGGGGTAAAGTATGGGATATTTGGTACCCCTTTGTTGACGAGGATGGGAGAGTCGGACGAGCCCATGGTTGGCGATGGATCAGCAGGATCGTGATGTCGGGTGTCTCTTATTGTAAGACGGGCTGTCCGCCGATGAGTCGTGGTCTGGCTCTTTTAGGGGGTGTCAGATAAGGAGATTGTAAAGAAAAAGCAACAAACATGCAAGGTCAACGCTCCAGTCTCAAGAAGCAGGAATCTGACGATAAATCTTTTACGGGAATCTTGAACTTTTATAATTGCGCCAGACATTGAGAGAAGACTTGGACCGGTGATAGAGGCGATGAAACGCCTTGCCGTTGATTTCTAAGACGATCGCGAAGATGTTGGGGAATTGCGAATTGATAGTGCGCTATCCGGTCAGACACCGACTTAACCGAGGCAACATGCCAGAAATGCATCTCCAACCGCTGACAATTGAGAGTTGGTGGTGTATCTCGTATAGGAAGATTACACGACGGTATATTCGGCCGCAGACCTGGCCAGGGGATAATGTGCTGCTACTGATGGGGTATGCGTCTTTGTCAATATTCAATCAACCAACCCTTCCATTGTAGGTGATATATAATGATCACACTTTTTACTTGATATCTCTCTCCCACGCATCCTCCTCACCACGGCAACTCGAATCCCTCGCGATGCCAGAACTTGCCCGTGTCGTCGATTGACTTCTGACTGACGATATTCTCCCACAGTTTCCTTGCCGCCTCGTTGGGCTCAACTGTCTCTGGGGGCATCTTTGCACCCGGCAGCAGGTTCGTCCTAACATAGCCAGGATGCAGCAACATGACCGTGACGCCCTTGTCTTTCAAATCCATCGCCATGCTTTTGCCAATGGAGTTGACGGCAGCTTTGGACGAGCGATAGGCGTAGTGTCCGCCAGAGCTGTTGTCGCCGACTGATCCAACGCGACTCGAGACGATACCGATCTTGGGCTTGGAGGCTTTTAGAATGTTGGGCAAGAGGGCCTGCGTCAGGAGGAAAACCCCAAATGTGTTGACTGCAAACGTTCGTTGAAAGACCTGCAGGTTGCTCGTGGTGAGACTGTCATCTTCACTGGAGGCGGCCACACCTGTTCAAACCCATCGGTTACTTGCGCTCTGATCCCTCCCACATAAGCATGATACGAAGAGGGGTTCGCCGCACCTGCAATATTGAGCAACAGGTCAACTGCTGTGTCACCGAGAGTGTCTTTGAACTTTTGGATCGACTCGGGAGAAGTCACATCCACTTCGGCAACGTGAGCCTTCTTGGCTTTCAGTGCCTGGAGACCATTCCCGCTATCTCGATCGACGGCGTAGACCGTGTAGCCCTACCTGCAGCGTTATCTCGATTGGTTATGATACGGTGACCGAGCTAACCTCATCACAGAGTACATTGGCAAATGCATGGGCGATGCCGGAGTTTGCCCCTGTCACGATTGCAGTCGGCATCTTGGTGGCAGTAGCGTAAGGGGCGATAATAAAGGTTTCTCAAACGGTAAGTCGAGATCGCTCAAGATGAAGCGTCAAATCCTGCCTGTCTGGGTAATATTCTCTCCTATTCGGATTGGATTGTAACAACTTATGACGTGATTTTGACAACCCTCAGTTGAGTGACTAATCTCCCAGAGCCAGCTGGCCAACACCCAGGCCAGACAAGGGAAATTGAGGGGCGATATCATCGGCATGGTAATTTACAACTATGTGCCCTATCATTCAGGCCTACTCGGAACAGTGGCACGGGTTCTTCCAGGCTCGGAGCTGCCAAGACACTAGTGACGGTACCAAGCCCGGACAACCTCCAGCATGCCCAGTCCCAACGCCCCGGAGGCTCTTTCGGTCTCAGCCCAGGTGGTTTTCCCGGCATCTAGGCGCCGTAAGCCTCAAAAGTCCCCCACGATCCCCTTAATATCTGCCGCATGTGGCCCCTTTAGCAGGTCTTGGAGTCGCTTGTTCTCGTCACTTAAAGCCTGTTCTGGAGGTCGCCTCTCCAGCTGCCGTCCGCTAAGTAGAGTAGTAGATCGTAGACGATGCGCCGGAACGGCTATTGTGTTTTCTACATCTTGTCCTCCTCCCAAACTGTTTTTGACATCGCTTGGTACCGTCGATATCTCTGAGATGTTGTGCAGAGTGCGCCCCGAGAGTGTGACCCTCGAGTAATGCCTGGAGCCCGTCACCAGCTGCTGGCCAATAGCTGCTAGTGCTTGCCTCCCCGCCGCCAGGACTCGGAGTCAGCAATAGGCGAGACTGCCGCCCACGTCTCACGGACGTTGGGCGTCTGATGGGCATGCTTGACCTGCTACCCAAATCGCTATCCACCAAATTCAACGATGCGATTGCCATATCAACCCACAAACGTGACTGGAGCACCGATTCCTCTGGAAGCAGTCTGCTCAGTCCCTCCCAGTCACCGAGACCACGACGAGGTCGACGACGGCAATGGAAGCGCTTGAGATTCCTGCCCTTCAAAACAATATGCTACGCCGCAGCAATCGCAATCTTGACCATTATTGGGCTTTGGTGGTTCCTCAACCCCACGCCCACTGGTGATCACCTTGAATTTTCGAAACCCGATGTCGATGATGGAGTGCCAGAGGATGGTCCTATCCCAATTGGCCAGTCCGTAGACCGCGGTGGGAGAGAAGTCTTCTGGTGGGAGCAATTCCCCAGGTGAGAACAGCCCATTCCACATACCAGTTGAGATGACAGTAATAACCTGGTTCGCAGACTCGACGGCTACTATCGGGGCCGAAAGAATATTGTCCCATTCCCCGACTATATCCCAGAACAACAGTCCAATGCTTTCGACCCTTTCGAGCCAGGCGAGCATGATGACCCTGAGCTTATTCCGCTGTCGCCGGCCCCTCCCCCAGACATCGAACAATGCTATCTAGACGAAGAGAGGCGAGTCCTGCCACCCACAATATCTGCATATCAAGGGTTACCGCAGGGTATGAGCGCACCACTTTTGGGATCCCAAAATGTGCTCGGTATCAACGATCAAATCTGCTATGATCGAGTAAATCGACTGGCGCCATACGGCTTGGGAATTTCGGAAGAACAAGGAGGACTCGGCAACCATGCAGAAGGCGACAACGACGGACTAGAGCAAGTGATTGCCATTGACTGGAAGCGTGTCAAATGGCACGACGCACAGCAGAGTTGTGTGTCGAAGAACTCCCCTCGGCTTCGATCTCGGAGTGCCTTTGTGTTTCGCACATGGGACAGCTTTCACTACACAGAACATCACATTGCCATGCTACGTGCGATAATCAGCGAACTTGCGATCGTGTCCGGGGGTCAGTACACGGTGCATTTCCTCATCCACGTGCAGAATGACACTCTTCCCATCTGGGCGTCAAAAGAGTTACACGATCAGGTGTTGAGAGACAGCCTGCCAGAAGAATTCCGTGGGATGGGCACACTCTGGTCGGTGGCGCAAATGAAGTTGATCTACCCTCCACCATTTCCTGACAGCATTGTGAATTTCTCGGGTGGTGAAATCTACGAAGCATATCGATCGTTACATTTTCCGCTCCAATACTTTGCTGCTCAAAATCCCCAGTATGATTATTTCTGGCAGTGGGAAATGGACATGAGGGTTACCGGCCACTATTACGAACTGTTGAGCCAGATCGAGTCCTGGGCAGAAGATCAACCGCGAGACTATGCTTGGGAGAGGTCATCAACTTTTTACATCCCGTCATTACACGACTATTCCTATGAAAACTACGCCCAATTTGTCATTGACGAGGTCCAGTCTCGCAATGAAACACCCATTTCTGGTCCGCAGATTCCGCAGGAACGACTGCTTAACATCCCGGAACAGACCGCCCCAGATGGTAAAGGCGAAATTACAGATCTAATCACGCTGAACCCCCTGTTTAACCCCGAGCACACCCGCTGGGCTTTCCGCGACGATATAACTGGTTATAACGTGACCCGAGACGGGCGACCGCCTACCAGAGCCGCTCTTATCACAGCGTCTCGAATGTCACGTCGCCTACTTCTGCTCATGCACGAGGAGACCTACCGCAACAAGCATACTATGTTTCCAGAAATGTATCCTGCCTCGATTGCCCTGCACTATGGTCTCAAGGCGATCTACGCCCCTCTTCCGGTGTACTTTGACAGAAACTGGCCCAGCAAGCATGCCGATGAAGTCTTCAATAATGCCCCTGTCACCTCGGAACACGAAAAGGCAGGCATGGACCACGGACACGGACACTTCCACGGTGAAGGGGGCAGCGTCTTCGGCCCTGGTGAGCACGTCTTCCGGGGTGCGACGTATTATTCCAATGCAGCATTTGCCGGCTATCTGTGGAGAAGATGGCTTGGTAGAGAAAATGCCCATAACGAATTGGGTTGGGAGTCGGAAGGAGGCCCGGGGGGCGGGCGCATGTGTTTACCTATGATGGTCCTACATCCGATCAAGTATGAATGACGATGTTGATGAGGTCTAACGCATTCCCTTTGAGTGTGGTGTGTCGACAATTTCATCTTGTTGAGAGGTTCTGGGCGGGATGAATATACCGTTAACACGGAGTGAGGGTGAAAAAGCCATTATGCCACATGGAACGTGTCAACGATCTAAGTTGTGGTGGGGTTCATATGGCTTCCGCTCTCCAGAAAAGCATTTTGCCCCGGAGAATCTGGTTGCGAGCACTTCTGTATATATCCAAGACATTTGGTTGAAAAGAGACGGGCATATAGAGTACAGGATAATGCTAATTTTGGGCTTTGATAGCGCCAGTCGTGGTCGATGAGCGTCTGCGTTGGCTGGAATATACCCCTCATCAGCCGAGACGAATAACCTTCTCCCCGCAATTGACCATAGGACGAGATCAATACTCGATATATCGCAAATTAATACCAGGTCTCATTCCCGTGATGGTAGGCATTTCTGACGCCGGACTCCAATTGGCTGTCAGTTTCAGTGCCAAGGCTTCTCTGACCATCACGGCGCGGTTCAGGTCCACATGGGCCTTATATGGAAAGTAAGAACTGTTATTATTACTCTCGAGCCACTTCTAGTTTCAGGCTCTTTGATACTCACGACGCGTGATCCCTTGACGTTTGTTTCGTAGTCGTCCCATCCTTGAAGCAGTGACACCTGTCACATTTTCAATGATGGGCACCAGTGGCTGAAAAGTGTCTCGCTGCTTTCATCTGCCCCTTTCGTGCCAAGGCTGCACTGAATCAATGTAGAAGTCAAGCAACCTGCGGTGTAACCTGGACACTCGACACGGACGACCACCATGTTGCAAACTACACATTGTCATTTCTCGCACAGTTGCATACCAATCCCTTCTCCTGCCGTGGGGATAGCTAGCTCATACTCGCATGATCAACTCTTCCAAACCGCTTCCTTCTCTCCCTCGATTCTGCCTCAGACTCGGACGTAGGTACTGCTGAAATGGAGACTAACGGACGCTGGACTCGAGAAAGTCTAAACAACGCTTTCAAAGCAGCGCAGAACGATCCCTCTAAAGTCTTCCTAGACTCCCTCGGCCGGAGGGCATTCCGTTTTGAGAACACCGTCATAAAGTACGGTGCATCCGTGGATACACAGGAAGCGCAAACACTATGCTTTATCCAAAGATCTGGCTTAGGAATACCCGTTCCTGAGGTCTATGCATACGGGATGTGTGAGAAAGTGGGGTTCATTGAGATGGAGTTGATGGAAGGCGACACCTTGGAAGAGATATGGAGTCAACTCTCAAAGGACGAAAAGCTCAACATTGCACAACAACTACGTGAAATTGTGTCTCGACTACGTTCGCTCGAGGGAAGTTATATTGGCTCGTTGGACCAACGCCCTGCGGTTGATCCTCGTCGAAATCGGCATCGTGGTGGTCCCTTTGAGACCGAGGCGGCATTCAATGAATTCCTGCTCAGCGACACTATATCTACGACCCCACCGATTTACTGTAAGATGCTGCAAGATCTTCTCTCAACCACGAAACACAGGATTTTGCTCACACGCGGAGACCTGAGCCCGACAAATATCGTCGTGAAAGAGGGTCAGATTGTTGGCATCATTGACTGGGAGTTCGCAGGCTGGTATCCGGAACACTGGGAATTTGTCCAGTTCTTCCGAGCTTTGTACGCCGACTACCGTGACTACGCCGATGTGATATTCGAAAAAGTATATTCTGCCGAGCTTATGGTCGATCACTTTCTGGGGCATTTGACGCGGCATTAGCTGTGGGAATTGTAAGGTCTCGGTCAGGCGTGGCACCGATAGCTTCTCGCAGTACTTCTCCTTCGGGTCCAAGATAGTGATGGGCCTACTACGACCATTCCTCACACAATGGATAGACGGCGAGGCTGCAGTGAGGACACGAGGCTGAGTGCAACAAGGCTGAGCACCCTTATGTCAGCGCCAAGATAAAATATATCTCGATCTTTGGTTCCAACCTCAAAAGAAGAGTTGCTCTTCTACTTGTTGTATGATAAACCACGTTTTTGAAGACAGGCCGTTTGCATTACTCCAACATGGTCGAATTGATCAGACTGGCTCATATGCCAGCAGACCTGCCGCTCTATGTCGCCATGTACACGGACGTGCAGAATGCGCCTTTCCTCAAGGAACAGTTGCTGGCAGGCAACTCCGAGTTCGAATACGCCTTTATTGATGCGAAAATGGTAAGCCCCGCCCCTCCTCTCCGAGCGCGCAGATTTTGGCCTCTCTCTTATGAGCCTTCACCCGACTGATGGACCCTTGGCGCCATGTGTCACAGATCGTCTCTACCACCCATGTGCTTGCTGCCGCTTTCCGAGCCATGAATGACTATCTCAATGAGAGGTTGAAGTCACGCAATGTTCACTCGGAGATTGTCTTCTCTCTGAGCCCGAACAACAACGTAAGTGCAGAGTTCAGACGTTCAGGTACAGTTTGGACACTAACGCACAATGGAGATCGGCGAGGCTTTCCGCAGGTTCGGAGTCGGCGAGTCAACTAAAGATTTACTGGTGTTGAAGGTGGCCACGACGCCGGAAGTCACCCTCGAAAGTGTCACTCAACATCTGTCAACGCACATCCAGGGCAAACCGAGTCCATTTGATGACGCAGGTTTTCGCAAGGTCGCCGACATTGACAGAATCCGAAAGGTCTACAAACTCAACTCTGCAGCCTCGGGTGGCCGCCGTCCTGGCAACTCTGTGAGCAGCGGATCTGGTGCGAAGGACAGCGGGTCCGTTGATGTGACGAAAAATCTTGAGGTCCAGATTCTCGGCCTCATGGCTCTCCGTGGGGCAACATGAGTGTCAGCATATCGGTTGTCACTCTTTCAGAGCACAAATAGGCGGTCCATGTGACCACTATGATATTATTTGGCTCCCTACGACATTATCCGCGCCTGGGTCATGCCAGACAACATCCAACGTCGACATCGCAGCCTTTCAATTCCCCCTTGTTCCGGAGGTCAGCTGCCGCACCGATGCCATGGAAAACCGACGCAACAAGCAAATCCATCTTCTTTTGGGCACTCATAGCCTGATCTTTCAATGGCTTCCCACGCCTCCAGTGGCCGGTACTATGACTGGAATATCTCCGCAGGGCTGGGAACTTCGCTCCAGCTCTGAAGACTTTTGATATTTTGCGCCGGTTTTGGGAGATTTCTGATGATTTGTATATTCATGAAGCCGTCTGCTCGTCCGACACTTGCTAGGGCCATGTCATCATCGCTCACCGACTTCGTTCCACAAATTCACCGCCGTTACTTTTAATCCAACGCTTTCTGGCGCACCTGTGCGCCTGGACCTTCCAAATGCAACAGGTACCCGCCCACTCTCATACGGTTGAAGAATCGCACACGAGACGATGATCTCTTTCCCCTAGCAGGATCAAGTCTGCGCCATATAGAGCTTGCTATAACCTGATTCTCTTTTGCGGAGGCGGATCAGCGTAACGCCAAAGATGACCAAGCTTATAAGTTCCAGAGCGGCGCCCACAATCGACGCGATGAACGTGTATTTCTGAAGGACACCAAGTACATCAGCATTCTTCTAATTGAAATCAGGGGCTTTGAGGTGTTACCATTTCACTGCACATGAACTCAAACGACATCTTCCCATTGTTGAGGTATTGGTGTGTGCACGACCAAGACCACAAGCCCCAGCCCTTTTTGCCCTTGTTGTCCTGCAATCTGAAGTAGACAGCGGCAGCCACCCATGCGGCGATTCCGATCAGGGACGTGAAGAAGACGGCCCCGGTGTGCAGGCGGGTTTCGCGCAGGCGACGGATCTAAAACAGTGGTTGTGGTCAGCAATTGCGAGCGAAATTTGTTGGGGGAAGCTCACCCCTCCACAGAATGTGAGCATGGAAAGGAGTTGGACAACGACGGCGATGACGGCGGCGGCGAGCATCACCCAGGTCGGCCATAGGTCGATATGGTCTGGCCACCCCCGCTGGAAAGAGCCATCTGGCTGCTGCAGAATCACACTCCGAGTGTTGATCCACACGACGGTGGCATGAGCAAGGACGCCGATGATGGACGCTGCAGCCGCCAGGGCAATGATTCTGACAAGTACGCGAAAAGAATTGGGGACGGCTCTTGCCTCGCGTTGGGCTCTGCGGGTCTGCTCGTGCGTTGGCTCGGTGAATGCGTATGGCGGTGCCGCTGCAGTGTTTTGACTTGGTAGGACCAGATGGCGGAGGGGCTCCATGATATGATGTTGTCGTGGCGAATGTGGCTTCGGGGGTTGTTGGGTGCTACGAGGCAAAATGATGGAGAGCAGAGGAGAGAAGAGAGGAAAAGTGCGGGATTAACAGCTGAGATAGGTACTCGGCACAAGCAGACGTATCGATCCGACGTCTCGTCCAAGTCAGGTCAAGTTTCTTTTGGAGTGATGTTTCTCTGTAAGTCGCAAGTCTTGGAGAATGTGTCCTCACAAATATCAAACGCAATCGACCCAGGTCTGACCGACTACAAGTACATACATACGTACAGTTACCCACAACGCGTATTTGAATCGCCCTTTTTTTTTCCTTTTTCCTTTTTCCTTTCTTGGACCTTTTCGTTTTGATCCTTTTTGAGCCAAGATTTAAGGGGAGGGGAGTGAAGCGCGCGTTACGAATAATAATAGATGGGTGAGTAGGTAGGCAAGTGCTGGAGCTGTCAGCCGCCAACCGCCAGGAATAAGAAAGGTACTCCACAAGCAAAGCAAGCCGCAGCCAAAGCCGCAGTCGATCTGACGGGAAACGTTACGGGGGAAACCAACGCTACATACGGAGTACAGAGGACAGAGTACAGATTTTCATGACGGGGAGGATCGGTAAAGGAATGAGGAGGGGAGGGGGGCGGGCGGGCGTGGGAACGGGTAATTACGAGATTACGAGGGCGGGAGTTGGAACTCCTTCGAGGATGAGGACGAGCAGGAGTATGATCTGCGGGAGGGAGTAGAGGGAAGGAGTATCACCGTTCCACAACTACTCGTACAACCAGACTAATGAGATTCCATATTACCAGGTGCCAGATCAGGTCTATGCTCGGTTTTACTCGGTATGGTTTTTTGTATGGGACGTACTCCGTTTGCGGTGTACTTTGGTGGCAGGCAGTGAGACAACGTCGAAGCAATTGCTAAGCATTATTGAATTAGTCCCCTCCTCCCCCCTCCAATGTCCATATCCATATCCATATCCGCAGGGAATACGGAGAATGGACTCTAGTACTCGGTACTTCGGCTGGGTATTGGAGGAGTGTAGGAGGTTACATAGGAGTGGTGGATGTAACAGAGAGTGAGCCTCCAACACTACGAGATTAGCAGTAGTGGGGTGGCATATCCGTGCGCGAGACAGGATACTTGTGTTCCTTGATACTTGACCCCTCGGTTCCTTGGGAAGAGAAAAAATGAAAAAAAAAAAATCCCTCTCAACCTGGGGAAGATGTGAGTGAGCGTGGTGATTTTTATTCTCAATGCGGAAAATGGGGTATTTACCACCAAAATGAAAAGAGATGAGACGAGTTGGGAGAAGGATGAGGACGAGGATGAGGAGGAAGATGGAAGACGATTGGGAACAGCCACGCGTCAGCACTAGAGATCCAACTCTTTCGCCTGGCGCTCGTTCTAACGCCCTGGTGTCGTGGGTTCTGCAACGAGTAAGAGATTCCATTCCTCCTTCTGGCTAAGAGTCACCAAGACCATCTGGTATAATAACTGGTAGAGTCGATACTCCTTATCTAGCCTGTGTTCGCACCACATACCTGCACTACACAGTACTCGCACGCCAATCCTAGTAGTGGTTCCGGTCCATTTTGGGGGCGAGGCGGGGGAGGAGGGAGGACGGGGAATGCGGCTGAGAAATTCAAGGAGCATGCCCTCAAATCCCGCACGGGAGAACGCGCCATGTGTGGTTATGTACTCAAAGTTCAGGACTCGGCACTCGAGAGAAATCATCAGGAAAAAGAACAAATGTGGCTCTCTTATACTCTTGAGCGGTTATTTTATATTTTATCAGATACACAGAGAGGTTGGTTCTCAGCCTCGTCATGTCAGCCAGCCTCGTGATGCGGGTTTGGACAAGCACGGGTATAAGTATCAGGATCAACATGGATCCAGCATTCAGTGGTTTCTACATCCTCGTCTAGCATGGCCGCCCGTCACTTAGCGAGTACACATACATCTCTCTGCCCAATTCAGTCTCAGCCTTGTGACAAGCATTTTCGACGCGAGTTTCAATCTCAATCCCAGACACGATGGAACGCGCCATTTGCAAATGTGCGCACTGTTTCAGCTGTATGCCTATCTCTCCGTGCGAATCACTCTCCCCTGCTGGCCAGTCGGCAGTGCATAGCCAGGCCTCCACCCTGCGAACAACATTCTATGTTTATCTTAGAGTACAATTGCAAACTTTTTCTCGATCCACCCGACAGTGCCTTCGTCGCCTCTCGACCATCAATCACATCCCTCTCTCCCACCAGGACCCGAAGCATCCACAGAGCTGTTCCTCAATCCCCTTCAATGATTCCGCAGAAATGCTGCCCCCATCTCAGGTCATGTTCTCCTCCCTATGCCCATGCCACCCTCGCCTCCAAGCACATTTGTTTTCGCAAGGACACGAACTTTCTGTCCCCTTGTCCGTCGAAAACATGTCTAACCATCCCATTTCATGTAAAAGAGCAAATCGATCCGATAAAGAAACAAGTGAATAACCATCCAACGCCGTCGCTAATATTCACGTGTTTTGTGTCTTTCTGAAAC